TATACATATATATATTCTCGTCTTTTCGTAGATCTTGGAGGCGATCGATGAGCCAAGCTATCAGAGGTTGGAGAAACCTGAGTGCTGTCCAGCCGATTACTACAGACTGATGGCCAGCTGCTGGGAACACGAACCACCCAAGCGACCCACGTTCGCCGAGCTGCATCGCGTCATTCCCAACGTAAGCGCATCTTACACAAAGTTTATACACATTACCCATGATGTCTTCGATTCCTATCGAATACGTGTAGTAACGTGTGCATGTATGTCTGCTATTGAGTGCTGCTCAGCGGATCAACACAAACCTTCGTGGAATTGCGATCATGCTATGGCATAGATCGTCTGACTCTTTGTGACATACTAGCTAGAACGTGATGCAAGGTGGTTTGTCATTGGTTTCCTGTTATCATTAAACCTTATCATCTATTTAAGTGGGATGGTGAGTGGGATGGTAAGCCACCGGTCTGTGGCAACCTTGCCGAAACTGAGAGTTCCTTCTGAGAGTGGTGAAGATGTCATAGGAATAGAAAAATGAAATGATAATAAAATTCCCACAGGAGAATATCTTAAAATCCCCAAGGACCTTACCTTATTCAGACTAAACCTTCGTTTCTGGGTTTTCACTTCTTTGTCAAGAGAAAAGTGAAATACCAGAACAGTAAAACACCAGAAATCGTTTTCCAGTTGCTGGATAATTCCCTGCCACGGCTGCGTAAATGAACCAGTCAGAAAATCACCCGAGGTTTCCTAATGGGTTATATTCGGGAAAATTCCTGTGCGAAAATTGTCTGTTGTCAAGTTGTAATTTTAAAGAAGGTTTCATGTGAGTGAAACTATAGCTCATCTGATGTGTGTTACGGTGTGTACATTTCAGATCAAACCAGACCAAGTTCAAGTGATACAAGATTCCACCGGTACTATGAAGAAGGAGCATTTAGATGTGAAACAGGGTGACATCGTCACAGTCCTCGATAAAAAGTAAACCTATAATATATATATATATATATATATATATATATATATATGTACTAATTACGTATGCTTGCGACGACGTGTGCTAGGATATCACATGAGTTGTTAGCAGTTTTCTATTCAGCCGTGCATAATCCGTATTCGGTGGTCAACCTGTGTTTGTGAAGCAGCGATAATTGTTTTGTTCGGTTAATTACGCGTTAACTACACAATACTAAACCGTAATGAGTAGACAACTTGGTTGTGAATCAGCGAAACATGGTTTGTTCGGTGAACTCGTTACTGTGTGAATAGTGATTAGTGGTGATGATGATGCTGATTGCATTACAGGCCACCGGATGCTCCACCAAACCTGTGGAAAGGCGTGCTCAACAATGGCAAGACAGGCTTGTTCAAGCCCCTTCACACCGTGCCATACATGGGAGCCAACTCAAAACAGACTAAGCAAAAACCAAAGACTCTTCCCAAGCCCCTTTCTCTTGGAGCAGTGGGAGGAGGAGGAGCAGCAGGTACACAGAGAAAAATACGACTTTTTTATGACCTTATATGACAGCAGTGTCGCCAATACTATTTTTGCTTATTGCCTGATAGTGGCCACAGTAAGGAGTCGCAGCTCTACCCACGCTATCAGAATCACAGTCAACAGGTTAGACCCACGAATGAAAATCTAGTTCCCCCAGCCAGCCCTTGATCAAATGTTAGGAAGCACCCGTTCACGCCATAGCAATGGGAGAGGATGCAAAAGCCAATTATTTACATGGCCACACTTCCCATTACTAGACTTACGAGTTCGTATATCATTATATATATATATATATAAGCTCAGCTGGGAGACGTCAACCTCTGTAAGAAGATGCTGCTGGCGTCGAACTGGGACGTCGAGAAGGCCGCCAACTGCCTGCTGGGCGTTGCCGAACGCGCCGACGACGACGCCGTGTCCGAATAGCCGCTAGGTGGCGCCACCTACTCTGACGGGCGTCGCCGAACGCGACGACGACGACGACGTGTCCGAGTAGCCGCTAGGCGGCGCCACCTACTCTGATGGGCGTCGCCGAACGCGTCGACGACTACGACGTGTCCGAGTAGCCGCTAGGACGGCGCCACCTACTCTGACGGGCGTCGCCGGTGACGACATGTATGAGTAGCTGCTGGGTGTTTGATGAAGGCAGTTGTCATGGTAACGTGTCTGCTGAGTAGGTGTGCGCAGTCGTCACCGCGCACGGGAACGCTGCCCCACGCGCCAAGTCCCACACCCAAACCCTCAAAGTCCAGCAATATATATATTCAAGAACCAACATTGCCATTAGATGGTGCTGAACTCATTTGGCCAATTCACGCACTGGCAGATAGTATTCCACATGACATAGAGAGTGATTTCATGGTAGCGTCATTTTAGCTATACGTAGCCTAGCAACAGGTTAGTGACGACACACAGAATGAGTCTCTTTACGTTGTGCAAGGCAGAAAGAATGTGTGCATGTGTATATATATCAATGCAGAATAGTACTTTGATTTAGCATCTGTACATGAGCGTGATATTCTGCGCGTAGAATCGGACGGCGACGCGCGGCGTTCGCGGCCGGCCCACCGTGGCAAGCTGACCCAGGACATGATCAGTCCTCCGCAGGGCGACCTTCGTCACACGCTGCACGTCGGACGATCCGAGGGAGACGTGTTCGGCGACGTGTCCTTCCTGCGAGGGAAGTATGCGCAGCTGCCCAAGCAACGCGTGTCACCATGTGAGTGATCGCAGTGACTCTACTAGAGTGACTTTACTAGTTAGCAGACTGCTACAGACTGCTACAGACTGCTACAGACTGCTACAGACTGCTACAGCGCTTCTTAAACCATTTCAGTGTCGTTCACCCTCGAGTCTTTATCACAAAATTTCATTCACGCGCGCGACTAAATTTCCGTAGGTTTTCGGTAAGTTTCATTCGCTCCAAAATAATCTCATTCGCCCTTGGGTGGAACCATTCACCAGTTTAAGAAGCACTGCTCCATTACGCACGTTGTGGGAGTTGGGTCTGTGTAGTGTGTACGTTATGTTTTTAGCTCACCTTGACATTGTCAAGCTGAGCTATTGCCATGGGTCGTCGTACGTCCGTCCGTCCGTTCGTCAACATTATTTACTGACATATTATTACATATTTACATATTTACTGAACATAAATTAATTTTGTTGTTGATTAATTTTAAATGTTCATTATGTTCATTATGTTCATCACCATGATGTGAAACCTCGTGAGCGCTCGGATGACGAATGCTATTGAGTAATTAGTGGGTATTTTTTATTTAAAATAAAGTTGATATGGTGAAGAAAAAGATGTGTAGGTGAGGGCGTGGATTTCCAAACTAAAGAAGTAGTTAAATTGAGCGATTGTTGGTCTTTATGGCCTCGCAGTAAATGAACGGTATATTTTTCTTCGATTAGACAAACCGTCCGACGACAGGCAGGCGCCATTGCGTGCAGAGACGCCCTCTGTTGGTGAGGCGTCGGACCTCGCGCCACTTCTCTGTGATACAGCTTCCGTGAGCTCGCTGCGTTACGATGCGAAGGCGGCACCAGCGGTGAGTCCTGTCGTTATGTAGACGAGGTTTTAATTGAAAACTACGGAGGTCATCGTCGTCGTCACGCAGTTAAATCAAAGTCAAAGACACGTGTGTGCGTTCGCCAGGTGTTTGTGCATTGTTGCGTGGTCCAAATCGGAAAGTGTCGCTGAGGTTTCTGGTTGCCAGCCTGTGTATCACAGGGGCCTGTTGTCAGAAACAAAATTGGCCTTAACATTAGTCTTAACATTAACTTTTTCTATTGACAGAAACGCTGCGAAGTTACGAGAATGAAAAATCGTAGCAGATTTCCTCGTAACAATACGAAACAAAGCGCTGTCGATGGTCTAGGAGAAATTGTTAATGTTAAGACTAATGTTAAGACTAATTTTGTTTCTGACAACGGGCCCCAGGCATTTACATCCACGCAATAAGCCATATCGGAAAGTCCTCGCCGCCATATTGAGATCAGATAAGAGTGGTGATATGTTGTCTATATATAACATGGTTAGGATAGGACTAGTCTAGGTTTATAATTCTCTTCACTGACATCGTACTTCAATTCACAGGTGCTTTTCTTTTTACACAAACATTCACAAATATGATTGTGGTCATTTGGGATATTTTGCAATGTTTGTGTTAAATGCCAAAACTAAAAACGCACGAGTGTTTACATTAATCATGTACTTTCCTAAGCGCGCCTCGGCCATTTCATACCCATTTTCCATGACCTAAATAACACATCTGGACTTTCTGATATCACTTATTACAGCGACGAAATGAGTTTAACAACGAAGGATTCGAGAGCGCGTCACTCTGTGCGGACTACAACCAGGATGTGGCTCGTGAGGCGGAGGAGGCGGCGGAGGCGGAGGAGGATGGAGAGCACAGCTACACGGAGATTAGTGACGAGAGTGAGAGCTCCTCTCCATATAACATTCAAGTAAGCATGCTAGATGCTGGCCGCGATACCGGGGCGCACACACACATATATGTGTATATATATATATATATTATAGACATCGCTTACAGCACAGTGAATGTTAAAGCGGACGTGGGTTATTACTGTGTGTCGGTAAAGTCGACGTCTGTTAAAGTTTGTAGAAGACGTTTTGAGGGTAAAATATTAATTAGTATTTATTTTTATTTCTTATTATTAATTAATTTCGAGGTACGTATTTTTATATTTTTATATTTATTATTTACTTACTTTGTGTTATTAACTTGTCTAACTTGTGACCACGTAGAAACTCGGGAGTATTTCTCGCTCGACAGCCACGCCTGCTCTTGCCTTGCAGCCGGACGCGTTCCAGTTTGAGAACTCATCGTTCATGGACGAGGTCTTCAAGGCTCTCGACGAGAGCGCCGAGTCGTTGTGCGGCGACGACGTGACCTCCGACCCCCGAGAGGTCAACCTGGGTCACGAGCTCGCCGGGGAGGTCGACCAGCTCGCTCGTGACCTCGAGCGACGCGGCGGGCGGCGGCGGCGCAAGAAGCAGCAGGCGCTC